GAGAATAAATGCTGAAAAAAATGAGTATAGGATAAATATTATAAGATAATAGTACAGAATAAAAGCAATAGCAGCAAAGAATGTAGACAAAGAGAACAAGAAACAGGATTAAAATCATAGAAAATTAGACTTAGTCTCCCAATGGGCAGCAGAGTGTTTGCTGGCTGCCAGAAGAAAAAAAAAAAGCCTAGAAACTAGTGGATTGTGATTTCACTGAACTAGTACTGCATAAAAATCTTGGTTTACGTAGGAAGAACCTGGCTAAAAAGAAATACATATATACTGTATATAGTTGCTGCAGAAGACCCCTTGCATAAGCCTGATGATGGCAGATGAGATTCTGCCGAAACGTTGCCAAAGTGCTCTCAATCTTATACGGGAGAAGACCCGAATACAAGGTTCTTCCTACGTAAACCAAGATTTTTCTGCAGCCCTAGTTCAGTGAAATCCCAATCCACTAGTTTCTAGGCTTTTTTTCCCAGCAGCCAGCAAGCTCCCTGCTGCCTATTGGGAGACTAAGAGCTTGCTGGCTGCTGGAAAAAAAGCCTAGAACTAGGGCTGCAGAAAAATCTTGGTTTACGTAGGAAGAACCTGGCTAAAGAGAAATACACATAAAGACCTACGAAAAGAAAAGAAAACATATACATATATATATGTGAGCACAACCAAGCCCTCACCCAAACAGAACACACCCCCATCCAATCAGAGCACAGCCAACCCCCATCCAATCAGAGCACAGCCAAGCCCCCAACCAATCAGAACACACCTCCACCCAATCAGAGCACAGCCAAGCTCCCACCCAATCAGTTCACACCCCCACTGGCAGTTAAAAGGAAGAAACAGCTGCGATCACACATTGCTCCTAGAAGCACGAAGCCGAAAACACCAGCCTGAAGATGACGAATGAGACTTCGTCGAAACGTCGCCAAGACACTTCCAATTTCACGGTTTTCGAGAAAACCCAAATAACCAAAGACCTACACACACACACACACACACACACACACACACACACACTCATACTTACGAATAAAAAATATTTTTATTTATCTAATCTAAGTCAGTATTTATTTAATGCTGGAAATCCAGATCAGAAATATCTCAAACAACAAGCTACCTAGTTTTGAAGACTTCTAGAAAGAATGAATCCATGCTTTTATCATTAAGCCATTTTTTTAAAAAAACACCCTCTAACATACAAGGTACTTTAAGAATGAAACAAAAAGATTGACTAACTAGTTTCGAGCTAGAAACCAGGAGAATAATCCTTAGTTTAGACAACAGACAGAGCCATCGTAATGCCAGAACCTTGATAATGTTACTATTGTGGTCCATATGCCAGTTAGGGGTGTGATTATTTTGGCGTTCTTTTCAAAAAAAGTGGTTGTAAATAGTTTGACTTGTTTTGGGGAAACTCCTGCCAAGTACAAGTTTGTGTGGGAGATTGGCTGCTGGGTAATTTATTATTTTTTCCAATATTTATTGACCTAAGGTGACTTTTCCATATGTATCCATTCAGAGGATTACTTCAAGATTTTACAGCCTGAGAAAGAAATGGCACATTGCATCTGACCTCTTTTCTCTCCCCCCCCTTTTTTTGTTATGAAACAAATGGAACAAAACTGACCAGAAAAACAAGTATACAAGGCAACCCTTCTTGCTTGATTCAGCGTACACAAACATAGCTTCCTGCCTGTGATATTTGCCAGAAGAAGAGATATTAGGGAACAACTACAGCAATTTAAGTCAATGACTTCCATTCAGTGTCAAAGAGCATGCATGAGGTCAACATTCATGTTAGGCCAGTGTTACTTTACAGATTTTCTAACCATTTTTTTTTTCATTTTGAAGGAAAATAAATTACTTGGTTCTGTTTTCCAAAAGAAAACAGGGAGAATGCCAGTGAGAGAAAGCATAAGCCATAAGTCCATGCTCAAAAGGGAGATTTCTCATATTGAAAGGTTTGATGAGAGGGTCACCAGCTTTCCCATCTCCCATTGCAAACACACACTGGAAATGTTCCTTCTTGGCTGTGACTTTGACAGTTGTGTGAATGCCCTGTGAATCGCTCCATGAGGTTCCTGGGCCAATTAGGATTTCCTTCTCTGTGTGGAGGTGTTTTGTACATGGATCATCTGTAAGCTCACAGTGATTGTTCAGATAGCTGCCAAATCCACAACTGTTTGGAGGCCCATTACAAGACTATCCACTCATACATTCCTTCAAAATGTGACTGGGTTTGAATGAACCCTGTAAACAGGAGGCCATACAGAGAATGATAAACTATCTGGCAACTTTATGAAACAAGATGTTCACAGAGAGAATGGCTGTGAGCAACTGGCTAATGGCCAGGGTTAAACTGAGTGCTAAACTGAATTTTAAACTGAGACAATTTCTGATATAGTATGCTAGGGAAGCTAATATTCATAATTCCAATAAATCAGAAGTGGGGATTATTTCACAGGAAGCATGCACAGGATCAATCTGCATTTAGAAGTAATTCTCTCCAGGGAACATTTATTTGAATTGCGGGTGAACTCTTATTTTGTAATATGATATCAATGCTTTTCTTGATCTATGATATTGAATAGAGCCCAGAAATTGCACCAGCATTGATTAACCTTTTAGCCTGTTTTTTAAGAATTGGAGATCCCAAAACTATAAGTAATATAAGCAGACAATCAAATAGTGCACAACACATGGCTGTTATTTATTTATTTTCCACCTGTATTCCACCTTTATTATTTTTACAAATCACTCAAGGTGGTGAACACATCCAACACAGTGACTGGCCCAAAGTCTCCTGACTAGTTTTCATAGCTAAGACCGGACTCAAATTTACCATCTCCTGCTTTCTAGCCTGGTGCCAAACTGGGTCTTAGGATGAATCCAGATTAGTACTCACAAGGTATATTAATATTTTTATTCCAGCTAAAATGGACCCATGATTTGAAGAACCTGTAAGAGGGTGGAAAATTTTTCCAACTCATGCTTTTCAGGTAATGCCATCTTAAACATTTCAGCAGCAGGCTCTTAATATGTTGTTGGTTCCCCAACACCATGTTTTGGCTATAACCCAGATGTGATTCTTTGGTGTTCTTTGGTTCAACTCAATACAACCTACATATTCTTCCTTAGTCCATTTGGCCTCACTTTCCTTTCCAAGAATCAGACAATTTATAGCAAGGGTTACTGGCTAAAAACAGGGACTTGCAGTCCTCTAATTAAGCTTGGCAGTGGGTGGAATTCTCACAATGGAACCTAGAAATGAGCATAAAACAACTACACTCCTACTTTTTCTCCTACTATTCAACTGCAATAGTCCAAAAGGTAGGGTTATTAGATCTGGGTCACAAAAACTTGGACAAGTTTTTATTGCTACTATCTGATGGTCTCCTGGATTTTTGTAGCCCAAATCTGGCAACCCAAATTTCCCCAAATTATTTTGAAAAAGTTCTTAGGAAGAGACAGAAGCAAACTAATTTTGACTATAACTTTGAATTCTATCTGAACAATTCATGAATGGTCACATTTTAGAACATCTAAGTAAAGTTTATAGGGAACATGTAGCTAGTGTTTACTTAGATCTCCTTTTCTGAATCTCCCCAGTGATGCCTAATAAGTGAAGTGTGCTGCAAAGTCTTTCAAGGGTGTCCTTAGCAAATTGTGCAAAAGTAGTCAAGGTTCTTGAAAGTAGGCATGTATGTGCCTTGATGTGTTTCATTTAGACTTTTTTTAAAAAAAAATGCAGGTGAACAGATATGGTTCCATTATTATACCACATTTGCAATATATTCTATTTTGGCTATAGAATTTACCATCCTGAAAACTTTTGGCAGAATGTTTAAAAAGAAACAAATAAATTTTCCAGTTTAAAAGAAGAAGCAATGTTCTAGCCCTTAGGCTGCTAAGAACAGTTTGAAAGTGTTTCAGGAAAATGTGGGAAGGAAGATGGCCAACCCCATCAGCAGTACCAGCGTTTCCTGCTGGAGCAAATCTTTTCTCTGGAGCAGTCAGGCCTTGAAATAAAAAATTCTCATGAGGAAAAGAAGCTTAGAAAGAAAATTAGGTGTTTTCAAGAAACTTATACTTGAAACAGATGTGTAGAATAAAATCATAAAAAAGTGTAACTGCACATGCTATCAGTTATTTAACGTTAAATAAGCTCTACGGTTTTATAAGAATTATTCCGAACGACAATATGTGAGTTTAGGCATATTTTAACCGTGAACTCACAATTTCTTGAAGCTGAGTTTGAGTCCAGTATCAGCAGTTAGCGGACTGATTTTAAAGAGAGAAACAATACAGTAAGAATATACTCTGTGGTTCAGGGGTGAAATGCTCCCAGATCAGACCAGATTGCCTGATCCGTTAGAGATTTTTCCCTGTGGTTCAGTGATCCGGTAGCGATCACCACCTGGGTGTCATTACTTCCTGGTTTTAACCTGGAAGTAATGTTTTTTTACCTTCTGCGCATGTGCAGAAGATGTGTGCGTGCATGTGATGCGAACACGCTTCCGAACTGGTAAGGAAGGTAAGTAGATTTCACCCCTGCTGGGGTTCCATTCCTACAACATGGTCTTGTTTTGCATACTCATCACTCAAAAACTGCTTTATTTAATTAAAAGAAGCAAGAGACTTAGGAAGTTGAGCCAAGTCAGAGGTAAGATAGTGGCCATTGATTTTAATTCTTTGAAAAGCTGTTAGATAATGTTCCCCAACTGTGAGACAGCTTGTATTTGGAGATCTGTTCAAGTCTGGTGTGAAAAAGTGTTTGTGATGAAGTTGCCCATTAGCAGCATTATTTGGACAGCAGGCTTAGTAGGTACATAAAGCATCTGGTAATAATCGTTCCCACCAAGGCAAGATCTTTCTCCTTATATAAATTAGAGTAATTATTTTTGAATATTCAGCTCTCTCTTTACATTACAATGCAGAATTATTATGCAGATCAGTTACCTCTTTGTCTTTTTTGATGTTGTATTTTCTTCTCTTTGTAGTGGTGCATATGTGATATGGATAACTTGGTTCAAGAACTTGGCTTTGAGCTTTGGCAGTAATCTTAGCCAATCCATGATTTTCTGGAGATAGTCCCGAATGATTTCATACTTACGTCTGGAACAGGATTGGGAGCATCGAAATTCTGTTCTCCCTTCATTGAACATCGGAAAACCATAAATGCCTACACCTTTAACATTCAGCTAACTGAAATATGACATTTCTAAGCAAGATATATCCATATGAGGTAATCAAGCATGACTAAATGTACCAGGAAAGGAAATTTAGCATGGGGCTTAGTAAAATCTTGGAATAAGAACTAAGTTGGTTCAGACTTGTCGGTTCCACCCTAGGTAAATAAAAATATATTCCAAATTCTGCCTTTGATCTGGGCTTCAGCTTTATCTGATGCACATCCTGAACAGGCTGCTATCCTGTTCCGATGGCTGGCTCATATTGTGTCTCACTGCCTCTTCAATATTTCTATACTTTCATGGTTAATATTTTTCTGTGCTGAGTTTCATTAGCTTGATCTGGTGTTTATTTCACACATAAAATATTCCAAGTGAATCAAGGGAAAATTTTATTCCCCATTTATTGCTAATGGTCTTAAGCTTAATGGCAAATTCTATTTCCATACTCTAATTCCTGTTTTCCATATCTTTTAAATGTTTCATGTCATCTAGGTGTTTTGATTCCCAAGGAGAATTGTATATGAATTTCTTTTCATTTCCCTAGAGCCCTGGAAATACATTAGAAATGCTGTAAGTATAAGTGCTTGATTGGTGATGAATGAGATAGGACAGATTCAGAGGTTCATATGCTATCCTAACTGCCCATGTCACAACTAACATAAGACCACCTGTTTTCGGTCAAAAAACAATGTTTGGTGGATAAGCTTCCCAGGGAGAGATTGTCATTGGCTCAGCATGTAACTGCTTCTAGTAATGAGACAAGGTGTGCCAAGAGGCACTAATGGATCATCTGTCAAAAGATTAACACTTTTCCTAAAGCAGCTTTCTTTCAGTTTCTATGAAAGACTTTAAAGTACAACAATTTATGACTTTATAACATATATACAATTCATTAAGAGAGAATAAAGAGCTTTTCAGAGACATCATTGGCAAAACAAGCTTAACTTTCATCTCAATATTTGTATGTTAATAACAACAATAATAATACATTATTGGGATATATTGTATTGTTTTGCAATAGGATTATTTTTTGTTACTAAAACAGTTTTTGTGGTAAAGTGTACAAAGTTATTATTTAGGAAAGTTATCTTGTATTTTAAGGTTTTTTATGATAGCTTTCTGATTGTTGTGATTTTTAAAATTCTGTTTTCGATTTTTATTATTACAGCCACAGGCCAGCTTTGCCTAGAGCAATGATTATAAACTCAATAAATAAATACATTTCAGTTTTATTAATACTGATTTGGGATTTAATACTGTTGAACTCACGCACTCACTTTTAAGAAGAATGTGGCAGATTTCACTAATTTTTTTTGCAGTCGTAATAATTATTAATTATTACTGCTACCTTTTCATTCCAGTTTTTTGGGGGGGTCTTGTCTATAAACCAATAAACATAAGTAAAAGTTATCTGTTGCTTTGGAAGCAAATAAAAAAGAAAGCATTACAACAGATTCAAACAATGAGTGAGTAATCTAATACAGAAGCTTTGATGTTTTCTTCCAAAGTGTATCTATAATGAGAACTTGTACTATGTGGTTAATTGGATAACATTACTTGTTGATTATTGTTCTCTTGTTTTTTAGCATTTTGGAAAAAACATGCTATAGAATATTTTAAGTTAGGAGCAGTAGTGAAATCCAATTTTTTTTACTACCGGTTCTGTGGGCGTGGCTTGGTGGGCATGGCAGGGGAAGGATACTGCAAAAACTCCATTCCCTACCCACTCCTGGGGGAAGAATATTGCAAAATCTCCATTCGCACCCCACTCTGGGGCCAGCCAGAGATAGTATTTGCCGGTTCTCCGAACTACTCAAAATTTCCGCTACTGGTTCTCCAAACTGCTCAAAATTTCCACTACCGGTTCTCCAGAACCTGTCAGAACCTGCTGGATTTCACTCCTGGCTAGGAGAATAATAAAAATAGGATTAAATTATATATCTGTTGCTGAGCCTTGATCACTTTAAGTTCTTACTTAGCCCTAAAAAATTTACTTCATGAAATAGAAAGTCCATTCTTCCAATAGGTATTTTTTAAATCTTTTATTTCCTATGGGTCTTCTTTGATTCCCATTAACAAACTGGCAATATTTGAAGGTGGGTTTGAAGCAGCTCCTATATCCTGCACCTCCAACAATATTTCTCCTCCTTGTAAAACTTGTGCTGCACAGCTGTTGCATTGTCTGGTGCCATCTGTTTACTATTTGGAACCAGAAAAGCCTGAAACCATGTTAGTATTGCATTTTAACACACTATAAGCTATTGTCATAAAATTAATTTCCAGTTAATTTCTTTTCTGGCTTTATCTAGCAAAAGTATTTCATTTTAGATTTAGCCTAGTGATGGCAACATCGTGTTAGTTGGTATTTCAAATAATTGCATTCTAGCACAGACGGTTTTCTTTGATTAGTTCACTAGATCATCATTGTAAGATTTTGGTAGCCATTGCATAAATCTGACAATATCATGCCCGCGAGTACCACAAAATAGCCAATTTTTCAAACAGCTTTCACTTGGCACTGAAATTAATATTAAAATCTTAATGGTGAAAAACTTTTGAAATCGCTAATCTCAAAACCTGAACCTTTGCAAGATTTTGAGCAAGATCACAACAGAAGGCTAACATTTGGTAGTTTCCCAGGATTGTGGTTGGTAGGCAGGTAGGTAGGCAGGTAGGTAGGTAGGTGACAGATAGATGGAAGTGGCCTGCAGTAACCTCTTAGAAAACCAATACTTGAGCTTCAGAATTAGAATGATTGTTTTAATGTCTACAATCAAGGGAACATAAGGTCATATGGTTTTATTCATCTTATATCCATCTTTAACTAAAAATGTTCTGTTTTGTGCTGATATTTTTTGTATTTTTTTTATAAACCGTTGGCTTACTGGGCCTTCCCTTTCCCCATTTTAAATTTAGATTCAAGTAGATTGCTAGGCAAAAATAACAGGCTGCCTTTAAATCTTCAAATAGTATTATGAATTTTAATTTTCTCCAACCAAAGTGCACCCAGGAAAACACAATTCAGGAAGTTATTTCAGGCACATGAAAGGTAATATATATGCTCATTCTAACTTTGCTCTTCATAGAAAAATAATTTTTCATGGGGTATGACATGTTTGTTTCCTACCAGAACATCACTGTCCACAACAATCTATGAAGACAGAAAAAAGATGACGTGTTCTGTCCCCTCCCACGAGTGGCCTTGCAGAAGCTCAAATAGCCTGGCAGTAACAAACGCAGGCTAGAGAGATTGAAGCTGGCCCTTTAATAAACAGTTCTCTTTCAAAAGTATATCAGTTCAGTAGTTACAGGGCAATGTTCCAGAGGTCTTGGCAGACGGCCAGCAGGCTAATGCAGGAATGCAGACTCATTTTCAAAACTCAAAACTAGCAGTTCTAAACTCCACTGCATCCAAAATGCCAACAAATTGTTTACCACGCCTTTCCGGCCCAGCCACACCCCTTTTATACTTTGTAGTGTGTGGCCCTACGTTTCCTGACCTACACCTCTTGGGACGTGGCAATAGCTGTTCTCTACGACGTCTCCTATGTCTCTCTCTTGCATCCAATAGGGGCTCCCTCTCCTCATTACCGGCCTCTGTTTCCTCCTCAATTTGGCTGGGGTCCAGAGGCACGTCAGCAACTGTCAGTTCTTGCTGACTCACCAGTGAAGACGGCCCGTCCGGCACATAGCTCGTGCCAGCTTCCTCCATATCATCCTTCGACTCAGCATGCAAAGATAAATCAGCCTCCGGGGCCGGAGTCACAACAACAGGTCACAAAAGTACCTCTGTATATTTTTGTCTCAACATCTGACATAATTACATAAGTCATATTATTGTGTAACAATACAAATTTTGTCAGTTCCTTCCACTCCTATGACCATAAGGCAAGTCAATTAGAAACATAATAGCTCTGTTGCTGCTATCAATTTCTAGCTAAGGCAACTTTCCTGATAATATTCAGGTAGTCTTCAATTTATGACTACAATTAGGATGGAAATTTCCATCATAACTTGGTGTGGTCATAAAGTAAGACATCATGTAACCACACTGATTTACAAAAGCAATCTTGGAACTCCTCATTGCAGTCAATAACTAAGAATCATGGGTTATAAATAAGTACCCATCCCAAACCAAGCCATTTCAGCCCTAAGCCTCATTAAGGTAAGGGACTATGTACAACTTTCCCAATCTGCCTCTCCCCAATCTCTGCCCTTTGGATTACCTTTGAATCTGGGACTCAAGGCAGGATGCAGAGTGGCCAAAAGGGCAGAGATACGTGTGTGTGTGGAGGGGGCGGGAAGAATTGGTAGTGGAGGGAGTTGAGTCCCTGAGATCGTAAATATGGGCAGCTGCCAAGAGCCCAAATTCTGATTCTGTAATTGTGGGGGCACTGGTTCCTAAGTCCATTTTTTAACATATTCATAATTTCGACAATTGCTGAACAAATAGTTAAGTTGAGGACTGTCTGTACAATCAAATTAAAAGGGTCAGAAATCACCCCAACTAGACATTGACTATTGCCCCATGAGCTTTTGCAGCAGGAGTATCACGAGTGTCTTTCCCAGATAACAGCAATAGATGTACCTTGATCATTGCAAGTAATCCATGGTGTGTTCCATGTTGTTAGGCCTTTGCAGTAAATTCTGTGGCTTCCTTATCCAGCAATTTTTTTTCTCCCTTTTTCTTAGAGGACTAGGTATGGAAAACAGGTCAGTTGAATATATATGGGTATTCCTCTGACATGACTGTTGGTTTGAGTTAGTTCAGCAATTCTCAGAGTGTGGTCTGTGGACTGAGATCCTTTCAGGAGGTTTGTGAAGTCAAATATTTTAAATTTTTTCAAATAAATATTTTAAAAAGTTATTTCTGTAATAAATACTGATAGATATAACTCACACAAATCAAAGCTCTTTGAGGCCCTGAATAATTTTTAAGAGTGTAAAGGGGTCCCGAGCAGGGGTGAAATCTACTTACCTTCCTTACCGGTTCAGAAGTGCGCACGTGCACGTCACATGTGCATGCAGACCCTCTGCGCATGTGCA